AAAAAAAAAAAAAAAAAAAAAAAAAATAAATACATCTTAGTTAAAATAATACCTTCTCAGCTTCGCATCGAAGCTAAAATGATTTGCTAAAATTCATTTTTTGAATATAAATCATTCTTATTTTCGAAATAATCATATACAACAAAATGTTTCGTAAAAGAAAATAAGTAAAGTTACATTTTCTAAAATATTCGTCTTATGTAAAATTATAGTCATATTTATAGTTTTACTGTTTTAATAACACTAACGATCTCAATAGGATTGTTTAAAACTGTTTATTCAGGGTACCACGATTATAAATATACAATATAGAATACAATTAATAATAAAAAAAATTAGTGATGGGCATTTTCAAATATTTTAAACTATCGATTAACAATTCGAATTGTGTTTATACCACCGAATATTTTATTTTTGGTATAAACTATCAAATATTTTAAAAACTATTCGAATGGAGATACCAAATAGTTTTTAAAACTAATCGAATATATTGTGTAACTAACTAATATTTTTTAACTAATATAATATAATAAAAAAATCTCAAACTCAACCCTTTTGAATATTTATTTATTAATATTATATTGAGTACAATTTATAAGAACAATATGTAATGTATTATGTACTTAGGACAGTTTATATTGAGGCTATATTTATTCTTAAAATTCTTGTTTGGGTGATTTTGATGCTCCATAATAATTTTGTTTTCATTTTCGTTATCATCAGCATCACTTTTTTCCTTGACTTCGCCGATTTGAGTGGCTGCATCGCTATTGAGCTTATATAATTCTGTATAAATATCTTTAGTTTCACATAGCATGTCTAAAAATAAATAATGATGGTAGTTTTATTTTATATGATATATTTAAAAAGTTGATAAAAGGCAAAACTTCCAATGTTCTTAATTTAAATTAAAACTAATTAATTTATGCTATAGATAAAAAAAAAAACTACTAGAATTTTTAGTATTGAAATTGTCAAGAAGGTATTTCTTTAATATTTATATATCTAGTCAGTACTAATCTCATTATTCAATTCAATTTAAAATTAAAGTCCTATTTCAGAAATGTCATAAAATTTCTCACAAATTGTTCAAATATGTCCGGTATACTGAATTTATGAAACGTTCAACACAATTATTTAATATAATAAAAAAAATTAATAATTAATATTACCTATTATATAATTATTAAAAACATACGTGTTTTCATAGCATAACGTATAGTTAATATTAAAAGATTTTTTGATAATTTCAAAGAATTTATCATTTTTTATTAATTCTGCTACAAATTCTTCTGATTGTTCCAGGTTCACAACCAATGCGTTCATTAGATTATCATTAATATCATTTGTAAAATGGCCAGTAAGAATATCAATTTTAAATTTGTTATTGTACAAAAATAATTTTAATGCATTCTGTAAATAATTGCATAAATACACCACATCATCAGTCCTTTTATGAATAAAATGATTATAGCAGTTAATAGTTTTATTTAAGAATAATAAAAAAACTTGTTTTGGATTGTCACCAAAAAGATTCACATTGACAAAATTTTTAAAACAATCAATTATTCTTTTACCAACAGAAATAATATTTTCATAGTATTTTAAAACTTCTTGTTCATTACTATTAAAGTCGTATTCGCGTGATAATTTCCTAAGAACTGCGATAAAGAAATTTACGAGTAAAGCTATAGGACGAAATGTTGCTGTTAGTAGTAATGTAAGAAATACTTCTATTTCTTTTCTATGAAAAGTATATTTGACGTATCTAAATATATCAAAAAGTCTCAAATTACTTTTATCTGGACATTTTTTAGTGAGTGGTGCAAATCGAATCATATCTAAAACATTTTTATACCGTCCGTTTATTAATATTGGATATTGCTTATCTTGAGAACTTCTTATTAAATCTTTTTCAGAAATTTTGGGATTTTTCATCATAAAGTCATAAAATATTAAATTTTTCGGTAAGAATTCCCAGTATTGAGACCTTTTAATAGCTTTATTAAAAACTTTATACACTTTACTATGTTTTAAATTTTGTACATTATCATCCGTGTCGTTTTGTTGCTTATCAGTTTGCAGTAATCGATTTTTAAGTTTATTTGCTACATATTGAAAATTTTCGAGAGTATATTCTCCTGATTTGTTGTAATCAGGACAATAAATAAATACTTCGTCATATATCACATTATTGCAAAATTTCAGTATCATCATCTCAAAGTCTTTTAAAAAAAACTGATGAAACATCATGTAACCATTAAGAAGACTTGATGTTCGATTTGACATATCAAATATTCCGTCATTATTTTTAGCATAGAAATCTACATACTTAGATACATTATTTAAATATAAATTAACTGACATCAATTCATTCGAGTATAAATTTCTATTAGCTTTCCTTAAAACATCTAACATTACTAGTACAATTTCGCCATGAGTTTTTATTGTGTTGCCATATTTTTTCAAAGTATGCACATTGTAGTTTTCTACGTTTTCACTAATTTCAGTTAAATATCGATTGTTATGATTAAAAAAATTTAACATATACTTGATGAAATTACAGTGATAAATATTAAACATTAATCCAAAGGTTAAATTAATGTGCAATAATAAAATAATTTTAATTATAATCATTTTTTGTCTTTTTAACAGAAAAAAAATAAAAAATAAAACTATTTTCTTTATTTTTCTGTACTTTTACAAGCTATTATATATTTTATTTAATCATTTTTTATACTTAATTATTTACCATGTTATAAATAGTGTTATTTTTTCGACGTCATTTGTTAAAATTTTTTTGAATTCCTGTATAAATATATCATATGGCTATCATTTTTAATATTTATTGGTGAATTAAAAAAAAAATACGCTATACAAAGTAATTTAGTAGGTCTACACTTGTATATTTAAATATTCATACTTTATTTATTTTCAATTTTATAAACCATTATAAATTAAATTTTACAGTAAAATAATCCCAGCACAGTGGGTAGTGGCATTATGGAGACACAGCATAGTTCGGACATTTCCCAACTATGCTTCATATTTCACAGTAATTAGCCTCATTATCATAAAAAAACGTTTGTTTACGAATCTGTTAAATTTTACAATAATTTGTATTTTTGTTATATTCAAACAATTNACGTTTGTTTACGAATCTGTTAAATTTTACAATAATTTGTATTTTTGTTATATTCAAACAATTTTTAAGATTAAAAATTAAGAAATTGATCAAAATCGTGATTTTTTTTAATTTGAAACTGATGTCTAATAGTAAAATGAAATAAAATGCACTCTTTATTTATTTCTTATCGTTTTTTCTTATTGTTTTTCCTCACAATAAAAAGGGAAAGTGATATTAGTTCATCACTTCGATCAATTTTATATTTTAATTTTAATCCTAATCATAGTTGATAATAAAAGAATATTACCTCATCCTGAGAAAAAGTGGTAACAGACACAAAAAAAAAAAACGGTAGCACTGTGGGGTCGAGGCACAGTGTGGACGAGGCATAGATGGGACAAGTATAGATGATATCTGATAGTGATTAAAATCACTATCATAAGAAACGCTTCGATGCAAATCTGTAGATAGTGTTTCCTTTAGAGAAATTGGTGAAATATTTTAAAAGCAACATGAACTCTTATTTCTTTAATTATATCCTGATTAGCAGTTCTTTGATTTTAAAATATAATATATGAATAAATACTAATTATAGTTTTTAAATTTAGTATGAAATT